GGAACCGGTTTTGACCATGAAAAGGCTGTCAAAAGAATACCACTGGTCCTGGGAGGTGGAGACTTTAGAGGAAGGGACTAGTAGACTGTATTTCCAATTGAAACCACTTTACAAAAGGTGGTTAAAAAGCCGAGAAAACAAAGTTGTCGGCCAACACACGGTTTGGCCGTCAAGGGCTTTTTGCGGTCAGCTGTTGTGTAATAACCCGCTGTGCGAGGTACTGATTTTCGGCGCACAGGTACTTTGACATGACTGTAACTTGACACAACACTTATTGTACCAAAAAGGGTTGGCATAGCGAAACCAGGTGGAAATTTAGTTTGGGCGGCGTAACTGGCTTTGATCGTCAAAGGCTGTCAAGATAATACCACTCATCGTGGGAGGTGCACACTTTACAGGTAGGAAGGGACCAGCGGACGGTACTTCCAGTTCGAACCACTTTGCAACAGGTGGCTCTAAAGCCGAGAGAAAAAAATGTCGACAGAACTCGGGGTGTCAGCGTTTCCACATCCAAAAGGAGGCTGATCAAGAAAGAAAGCTCACCACATAAACTTCCATACTCAAACATCGATTCTTTAGTGATTTCGAGATTCATTGTTGTTTTCTTTAGATTTATATTTGTCACTTTTTTTTACCGTTCGAATCTTTCTTCATGAAGTAGAGATTGCGTGCCATACTTGTCCGGAGATATCGACACGTACGATGGGGATTGGATTGGAAAACCTTTATTGTTCGCTAGAGTTACAGGTGGGTATGCTGATCTTGCTAGGTGGCCGTCAATGGAGACTGGCGGCGACCTCGGGACGAAACTTCTTTGGAGGGCATTCCTCCAACGAAATTGGCGCTGCATAACCGCGAGTGTGGGATGGCATTTCAGTTCGTCCCATCGGCGCTGACACATGTAGGCGTTACTGGTACGAAAACTAACGCAGCGCGCAAAGCGGCAGTGTAGAATATGTCAGCCGTGCGGACACAGTGGCAGACATGATCGGGAGACCAAATTTCTCGCGTCGTACGGCACGGCTCCATCGTTGTCGCTGTCCAACAAAACATCGGCGAGGTGAAAAACTGTGAAACTTTGTCCGCACGAGATGCGACGCATAACTATTGAAGCACTTAATGGCGCAGCACCGGCAGCACTTCATGCTGTGAACCCAGCGCAACCGCACCGCTCCGACTTCAATGCGTACCAACCAACGCGGCGTGGTTTCGGTTTCGTTTTCTCTGGGGTTCTCACTGCCTACTTTCAGTACCGGCCGCGCGGCGGCGCGCCAGTCGCGTCGCACGGAGTGTATAGTCCGTTCACCGTCCGCACGAAGGAGAACTCCGCGGACGGATGTCGTGACGTCAACAACCCGGGAAAATCCGTACTCGCCTCCGCCGCACACCTGCGGAGCTTTCGTGTTGACAGCACGAAGCCCTGCACCTCCGCCGCGTAGGAGAACGGCGCCTCGAGGCGTCAAAAAGGGATGACGTATGTCTCACGTGATGCGCGCTCCGCGGAGGGAAGGGGCGGATTTCTCCTTTGTGGTGGAAGGGTGCACTGAGTGTAGACGTTTTAAACAGGTGCCAAATTGAGCCGCCATAGCCGACCTTGTCTTATCTTAGCGAGATGCCGATCCACTAAAGCGGGCGTTGACGAGCCTCCACAAAGGCCTATGCTGGGTAGAAGGACACAGTAGCACCTAAAGTGGCAATAACCTGTCCTGCCTTGGTAATGATGAAGTGAAGCGAACAAAATAAGAGGAAACAAAAACTGAAGGTCGGTTAAGGCGGCGCCCATGCACAGCTGCCTGAAAGCGTCTATGGTGAGATCGGTCTATTGCTAAGTTGGCTCCTTTCGACTGTGAAGGCATTCCACAGAGAAAGAGGAGGATGTTCGCAGGCCTTGATTATTCTACGCGGTGCTGGCTGGCTCAGGACAACAGTGGCGCGACGTTTGGAAGTTCGCTTTTTTATCGTAGCACTGCCACGCATAATAGCACCGCCATAGCTCTTTGCATGACCTCAGGTCATGCCAAGAGCATTTAACGACAAAACCGTGAATCTGAGCAAGGAGAATCCTCCGCGTGGCCTCAGCACAAACTGCTGCCATCTAGAGCCGCAAACATGCAACCTGGCGGATGACCCGAGCCTGCCCAGAATTCTTTCAGGAAGAATTATGGGCAAAACTCCAGCTCAACCGATTCATTGTTTGTTTTCCCATGAATTTACACCTCATTACGTCACTTGGAGGCGTATATGAAGGCATTTCTTTACACCTCCAATTGAAGAGATCTTAAAGGAGCAGTTATATATTAGATTTAAATATACAGATGCGCTGTGAAAACACCAGTGCACCCTAATTTTATATTTAGAGGTGACGTGTGCTTTTTGAAATGTATGCTTATTTGGACACTTTCTTTTGTTTAATTTTGATCGGCAGAGGAGATTTTCATACACAATGAAAAAAAAATAATGATGCAGATTTGGTGAACTCAATATGAAACGTGTTCATAACACCATGTACCGCACCTCTGGATAACGGAGTTACTTTTCCTTCGTAACTTAATTGCCATAATTGATATTCGCTGACTTATGTCTCCGACGTTAAACAAAGTTGGTTGCGTACTTGAACTGCCGTGGGTACATCAAAGCAGTGATGCATTTACGTTATAATTACTCGGTCTAAATTATGAAAGTTAGTGTGCTGCTTCACGCAGTATTTATGGAGAATCCTGTACATTTTTGGAACCCGATTGTCTACAGTATTAGTCATGACTGCTCAATAATATATGTCGAGAAATATCTTTCGTTCATAGTACCAAGTCGCGCGCTAAAGCGACACCATTATTTTATTGCGATTTAAGTGCCTAATTACTTTCAAGTTTCGACATTGAATCGCACCTTTTAATAGTGAGTGTAAGTTGTATCGCTGACAAATCCCATTCTTGGAGATACGCTGAAACGAATTTACGCTTGCTCTTAAGTGTAACACTGATCTCAGCCAAAACGACAACCAAATTCAAAGGTCACTGGTCTTGATTTCTATGTCAGACGAAGTTCAGGCATGGCAGTCTCCCGTCTGGGAGGCCAACCATTGTTCCTTCGCTCTTCATTCTTGTAGTTTCTATATTCCATATTTGCAGTTGACCCTCACCTAAAGTTTCACGTACTTAGCTACCTGTATGTTGACATGACGAAGGCTTTCGACGAGGTAGATCACCGGCTTCTGTTGGCTAAGTTGAATATGTACGCTTCATGTCCTAGGTATTCTAAGCTTCTTTAGCGCTACTTGCGTAAACGCGAGAACTTGGTACGTGCGTCCATCTGCCTATCTAATCATTTCGTGGCCACGTCGGGCGCCCCACAGGGAAGAAATCTTGGCCCTCTTCTGTTTCAAAGTTTTGTAAATGATCTTACTTCATGTGTGAAATATTAAAACGTATTGTTATTTGCCGCCGACATAAAACTGCATCGACTCACAAATACTGTAGATGACTGTATACGTCTTCATCGTGACGTATGCTCTATTTCCCTGTGGTGCTTGACTAATGGTCTTGTGCTCGACGAATCGAAAACAAAAGTTATTTCTCTCAGCAGGAAGCGTGAAGTTTTACAGTTTTGTTATGCTTTAGACACCACCGTTATCAGCAGTGTCTCGAATTACATATTTAGGTAGATATTTAGACACTGCACTTTCTTTTAATCAACATGTGACAAATATTGTCAACTCGTCTCTAAGCGTTTTTTTTTTGGTGTGTTATAAGGCGTATATCGAGTATTTTAAAAACCCACTGTTTTTCAATGTTATTTCTCTCTCTTGTACGAAGCCGCCTCGAGGTTTTCTCAGCTGTAGGAAACAGCATTGTAGGAACTAACCCATCCAGTATTGAGAGAGTCTAAAGAAAATGGATACGTGTGTTTTATGGCCGTTACTTCCAATCCAAGGTGCTTCATGACCACGAGAGAATATGTGGGCAGATTGGCTCATATTCTTTGTGTAATAGACGAATGATGCGTAATTTCATATTCTTTCATAAGGTTGTTAATAATGGTTTAGTCGATGGGGCACATCTTTACTGAACTGTGCATGTTTAAGTGTTCCTCAAAGGTCTGGTAGTGAACGCTCATTGTTTTAGCCTTCCGTTCTACACAATACTGATCCCATTACCCGTCTGCAACAGGTTTTAACAAATTGGAATACAGCTTGGAGAGATCTGACATTGACATTTTATGGTTTCGAGCAACCATTTAGAAAGTCCATTGACGTCTTCCTTTCAGTTTGATTTGGCAACGTATGATCTTGATATGTAAATTCTTATTAGTTCGACGTATGTAGTGCACCACTAAAAATGCATACAGCTGTTTGTGGACACCGAAAATAAAGCATTATTATTATTTCTGCAATTGACATTTATTGAAAACTCTACAATAACAGAATAAGGTCAGGGCGCACAAATTGATAATTATAATAGACCTTCGCAAGATACACATTCCTAAAAGAGACGTCTGAAACAGGCTGTAGAAATGCAACTCCAGAAGCAGTTCTATCCAGTGCTGAATAGACCGATTTCACTAAGCGCTCGGCGCATCCGTGAAGCCGCCATAACTTTAACTCACAGGAGGCAGACGGCAGTGCCTGATACATCTAGTGTTCTGCACGCGCAGAGCTACAGCGAGGTTGTGGCACGTGCATAAAGATGAAAGTTCCCTCGATGCATTGTGACAGTGGTGGCGTATCTAAACTGACTGGTGAGATCGGTCCATTTTTATATTTTTGTATACTAAAACTAGTAAAGATATACTGTAAGCGTCCAAATCATCGAAAAATTAGATCACCCCATCATAACTTCCTAAATGGCTAACGGTTGTTGTCAATTTGCGTTAAAGTCAGTGAAACGCAAGGAGAACGGTGTATTTAACGTTAACGTAACTGGAGTTTGGGAACATACCGTAGCTCACTGATATTGTGTCTAGCACGCCAGTGATGTGTGCGCATCGCGATCTTTTTCCCACAGACCATGAAAGACAGGGACCGTCCTTTCTACCAGATCATCGATGGGCACCGCCTTCCTGGCCCCTTCAGTGAAGATGTTTACCGTAGCGGTCTGCTGTACAAGCCGGAAGAAGGTGACATCGTCTTGGACACCTTCCCCAAGTGCGGAACTCACTGGGTGGTGGAGATTCTGAAGGCATCCTACCAGGTCTGCAAGGGGATTACCCCAGGATCAGTTTTTCTGGAGAAGTTTGGTCTGAATGGAATCCTGACAACCGACCGTCCAAGAATGATCTTCACTCACTTGCCTCAGAATATGGTACCGTTCTCACCATGTGCAAAGTATATCTACGTGGCAAGAAATCCTAAGGACTGTTGTGTGTCTTTCTACCACCACACGAAGAACATTCCTGCGTACGGTTTCCAGGACGGAACATTCGACGAGTATTTTGAAATATTCGTGGATGGTCTCACAGATTTCGGAAACTATTACCACAGTGTTCGGTCGTGGTACGCTAAGAAAGACGAGCCCTATGTACTCATTGTGACGTACGAGTCGCTACATGCTGATATTCGGGGATCGGTGCTTAAGATTGCCGGCTTTGTTGACCAAACGTTGGCTTCGGAACTTGCAACAGACGAGAGGAAGATGCAAGCTGTCCTGGAAAAGATCAACGTGGACAACATGAAAAAGGAGTGGCCGATTCAGTTTGTTCGGAAAGGCGTCGTGGGAGAGTGGAAGAACTACTTCTCAGAGGAACAGTCTCGGAGGTTAGAGGCCAGGTTCTTTCGTGAAATGGAAGGAACGACAGTGCCTACACTCTGGGAAGATGTCGACTGGCTGCGTGACTCGACTAAGCAAATTGGAGCTCCCTGATAAATAGTCAACGACGCTTTAGATTCCTTCGCTGGAGAGCATTTAGGCAACACGCCAGAAGTGTAGCATACAAAGTTTGTTTTTAATCCTTACCTTCAATCTTAAACGGTATTACGCGCTTTGTTTACCTGTCGGAGGTCACAACTGTTTAACTTGCTTTTAAAATATACTTTAGCATACCCCAAACTTTAAGAGTTTTATGTTTTGCCTGGTTGGCTTATCTAACTTGTGATCGGTTGCTTGCCTTGCTTTCTAATACTCGTAATTGTAACCACAGAATATTTACTACTCATATTTTGTTTTACATTAAACCGAACAATACCATCGTTATAAGCAAAACTACATTAATTTGTGATGGTGTGTATTTTTTGATTTGTTAATAAAGTGTTGATGAATCGGGTAAAGTGTTTTATCATTTTTATAGGCTCAACCTATACTCCTGAATGCAGGAATCGCAGAGGAGTGGTTTTATCCACTGCACATTCTCACAGGAATTCGAGAGCCTCCTGCGATTTGAAGTGCGTTCTAACAGTTTTTTTTTAATAACATATTATTACATCAATAAATTTATTACCTTAATTATATGCTGATTAGAAATATAAGATTTTCGAAGCCATGGTAAGTGCTAGGACGGCTATGGCGTATTTCATATGCGGTAAAAAACCGGAGCCTGGAAACATTTGCAGGCACAACCAACACAACAGCCACTCAAGGTGACTACATCTCATGAAGTCTTGGCTTGCTCTGGTTTTTGGGTTAATAAGTTTGCGATAATGCGGCGAAGTTTGCCAACCGATGTAGAATAAAATGCTTGTTTGAATAGTGGTTTTCAGCCGCAACATATCCTTGTAAATGCTGATTTCTTCCGTGCTCCAAGGCTGTCTTGTGATAGGGTACATAACGTACTGTACTCTCGTGCCAGTGTTGTAGGCGTTACAAAAACATATTACCAAATGCGTTACTCGTTACTTGCAATAAAAAAATGCGTTACCGGCGTAGGTTATCTCAAAATAAAAGCAACGCGTTACCGTTACCGTTGCAGATAAAAATTAAAGCACGTTACTTCTGCGGAAATTTTAATTTATTAATTTACGGTAACCGCGTTCTTCTTTTTTTTCGCTGACAGCGTTTTTTGAGACTGGAAAAAAATGGCGTGGGCGTTGGGGTTTTTCTAAAGCGGAACATTATCTTGCTGGGGGAAAAGACAGGCAAAATTTTGAAGGCAAGTGGAATGAGTGCAATAGTTAATGACTTGGCGCCTATACTTATTTTAAGCTTAAGTCAGGACGATGCCGATGCTACGAGCTAATGGGACCGATTAAGCAGCGTAAGAAGCGCAAGTCACTGGGCTCTTTTTCTTTATGATTTGTTCAGCAATGACAGAACACATCTAGAAACATGACGAAAACCATGATTGTGCCCTTTCGATGCTGTCTGATTAGTCCCATCAGCTCGTAGCGTCGGCTGCGTTTAAACGTAAGGTAAAACGAAATACAGAGACAAGAAAAAAAAATAAGTGTATTTTTTCAGGTTTTGGGAAAACAGTGTAACGAGTAACGTAACTGCGTTACTTATTACTTGAATGAAGTATCGTAAGTACGTTATTCGTTGCTGTTTTGAAAATGTTACGAGTACGTTACTACGTTACAGGGAAAAGTTTACGCGTTACGGGTAACGTCGTTGCTTCTAACGCGTTACCGCCAACACTGCTCCGTGCTCTGTTTTGCCACCTCCGCAGGAATCAAGTAGCAACAACCATGGGCGTCGAAAGACATCCGCTGTTCCAACTTATCGATGGTATTAAGCTACCTCTTGGATTTGATCCGGTCCAGTTGCGGTCCTGCCTCAAGTACCAGGCCTCTGCAGGAGACGTGTTCATTGACACCTTCCCGAAATGCGGGACCAACTGGACCAAGCGGATCGTACAGTTGCTGTTCGGTGAGAACTCAGCCAGAGACAGCGACTATGGTCTGTCTACCTCCTTCTTCGAGATGGTCGGCAAGGATGTCATCGAGGGTCTTCCTCAGCCTAGAATCATTACCACCCACCTAGAGTATCAGCTGCTACCCAAGCACCCCGGGGCCAAATATATCTACGTCGTGAGGAACCCCAAAGATTGCTGCGTCTCCTACTTCCACCACACGAAGAAAACAAAGGTGTACCACTTCGAGGACGGCACGTTCGACGAATACCTGCAGCTCTTCGTTGACGGTGAAACGAGCTTCGGTGACTACTTCAGCCACTTGCTCTCCTGGTACCCCAACATTCACGTGGCCAACGTTATATTTCTAACGTACGAAGACATGAAGAAAGATCCCGAAGCTGCCGTGCTGAAGATCGCTAAGTTCCTGGAAGTAAAAGATCCCGAGCTCATGGATCCTATGACTGATAAATTCAAGAAGGTAATGGAACTGAGCAGCGTTGACTCTATGAAGGAATACCTGGTGAACAACTATAAGAAAGCGATGGGAGACCAGGATCCTGAGAAGTGGACGGCTAAGGAGGACTACCCTCTGGCCAGGGCGCCGCCGCCCCCAGACGTTATGGTGCGTAAGGGAATCATCGGGGACTGGAGAAATGTTTTCAGCAAGGAGCAGTCCCGCAAGATGGAGCAGGCCATGGCGGACAAGTGTGGCAAGCTAATTGACCTCTCCAAGATCTGGGACCCCAAGGACTGGATGGAAGACGTGTAAAATGCTGTTGATTTATGGCGATGCAGCGTTAATTGGGCACATGCGCTGTCACCGATACAAAAAAAGCCAATGGACAGATTTGACACCTGTCCTCTTCATCGTTTCTTGAAAATATGTTAGAAGTTTATCTCAAGTCGCAGCTTTGCACTCATTGGAAGCATTAGGTATGTGATTTTCGGGAGTTTTGAAAATTTGTAATTCGGACGCGCTCTGTTTCTAGCAGCTGGTTCAATTTGTGTTTGTGTTTGAACTTGAAATGCGGTATTTAGAAATTGCCAGTTGTATGCCTCCGAGTAAAGGGGTGTCCAAACAGGGTACTACAAAACGCACGACTCCGATAAATCGTGCGGCGCTCCGCTTCCGGCCATTTTTCTTTGCCGGAGGGAAACTTCCCCCCGTCAAATCTCCCCCTCGCTTCCACTGCGGCGGCCTTGCTCTGCTCATCACGTGGGTGCGGAGAGCCACTCACACGCTCTGTTGGCTGTGTTGGTGAGGGGGAGATTTGACGGGGTAGAAATTCCCCCCCGGCAAAAAGAACGGCCGAAAGCGGAGCGCCGAACGATTTGTCGGAGTCGTGTGGCCTGTCGATCTTTGTAGTGTCCGGTTTGAACACCCCTTAAGACTACAGAAAGCAGCTTCAAAGTCCTGGGGTCTGCAAATCGTTACACACAAAAAGAAGCTCGCTGCATCTATCATATTTTTCGTTTCTGTATACTCACTTAGATTTTGTTGCGGTTTGCAACGTTTTACGTTTTTTTTAATTATACATTTATATCTATATTTCTACAACTAACGCGCTGGTAATTGTAATAGGTGTATTTATATATCACAATTTTAAAGTACACCTCATTTAACACGATTTTACACCCAATATACGTGGCAGTTAAGTCTGTAACATTATCGATGGAGGTGCAGACAAAGGTTGTAATTCGCCCTAATGTAAGTGCACTATTTTATCTCTCTGCCTCACCTTTCTTTTGCAGCTGATAGAAACCAGAAAAGTGTGTCGACTTTAAAGGGTGGTATATTTGCAGCAAATGACAATAAAATGTTCTACAAAAATGTTTCGATTGACTTGATCTTGTACTATTTGTCCCCGACTTATTCGGGCACATCCTACTATCTATTTGCTTTACCTTCCTGAGCTGCCGTAAGGCCAGCGCCGCTTTACCTTGACGGATCATCTTGAGAGACCGCTGATTCGTAAACATACAATCTGCGGTAAAATGGCCTGTGACCAACTCAAAAACGGTAGGTATGTGGGAGGTGCCGAAACAACCTAAGAAATTTCAGTATGAGAGCAATCATTTGCAGTCAAAGCACCGTAAAAAGAGATGCTGCGAGAGTGCTACATCTAAAGGCTGATTCATAATATCTGCGTTTCAGCGTGACCCAGTGCGTTGTGACCGCTCGTGACCGCTTACGACGAAATAAGCCAGTGCACTGGTGCCATCTATCAGGAAGCTCTGTAACACTTTCGATCTGTGTATATTTCCGAATTTTTACCGAAACGTTCTCCCTGGGCTTGAATACAATAGACGACGTATAAAAATCCCTCCACGCAACACTGCGCGCGTTGCATTACAGTACCTGGTTGGCCATGGAGAGGTGAGGCATGGTTTGCGTTTTTCGTCGCGTTATTTTATATTTTGGGTGGGTTGCGGGGTAGCACAGCTTGGGGGGGGGGGGGGGGGGGGGGGGGCTGCATTACGAATAATTTGACATACCTTGTTGACGATAAGAGCAGTTTTTTTTTACCCAGTGTTTCAGATATTCCTTACCTCGTGAAATATGTGCGCAACCGATTGCACGCACAAAAGGTTTTGTGTTTCACTGGTGTGCGTGTTCGGTGGGCTTACCATGACAGGCTATTTGTTGAAGACCTGACATCCGGCATTTCTAGATTACGACACTTTTTACCTCTTCCGTTTCGATTAGATGATATCCCATGACTTTGACAACAGACATGGAAGTAGCGAGCTATCAAACAAGCTTGCACATTAAGAAACTTCTGTCGTAGATGGGCCAGGATAGGTTTGTTTTTGCACATATTCGACGCCAGCGAATGCTTGCGTCGATGGTGCGGAAGAATTTCGACCGAAATCACAGTGTTCACTGCAGCTACAAGATAAGACACTTTTCCCCTTTTGCTGAAAGCTGCCTTCCAGCGGGCCGCTCTCTGGTTTTGGGTATTTTTGGCAAGTGAGAGGGAATATTCGGAAACTTGGTGGGGCGTTCTTTGCCAAGTATGCGCTTCGTGCAGGCACTGCCCGAGTACGTTTCCTCTACCTTTCCACTGGGTTCAGCCATCCAGGTTTTTGACACAAAATCAATTTCGAAATGTCTCTCACAGACGTGGTCCGTCGCCTGAATTTGGCGATCCTTCCATTTTATTGCACGTCGCCAGAGATTGAGGGGTGCATATTTCGGAGAAGAGAGTATCGAGAGCTTTTAGCGACAGCTCTTTTGCCCCTCGTGAACTGGGAGAAAAACACGTTCTGGCCATGGCGAGATTCTTAAGTAGAGTGACGAAATTACTAACCAAACAATACAAAACGTATGATTCTAGAGTGACCCTCATTGATCCTCTACGTATGCATGAAGGCAACGACGGGTTGGGGCTGGGCTAGGTGGGACATGGTTAAAGGTAGAACCTGCTGAACCTTTTAAGATGAAGAGAAAGGCACAAATAGAGAAAAAAGCAAAGAAACGCTGAACTATAGATTTGTTAGCCCAGCGTTTTCTTGGCTTTTTCTCTATATATTCCTTTCGTTTTCTATCTTCAGACGTTCAGCTGGTTCTATCTCCAAATTTAAAAGTATTCCTGCGGCGCAAATTTTTATAATCGAGTATATTAAATAGGCATTCTTAAGAAAAGTCAAAGAGAAGAAGTCCCAGAAATGGAGAACGTTTAATCCTTGATCAACCAAGCCCCAAGCCAACCTTTCTCGAGCCTCCTTTTGGAACCCGAGACAAGTGACGCCATCTCACGGCGCTTGTCAGGACTGCGAGTGAATCTTCGCCACGCTTGGTTCACGGCGAGGCGTCGTCGTTTAGACACCTCTCTCTTCTTCCACCGGGAAGTAGTGCATCTGAGCACTGCATGAAAATAAAGTCAGCGCTCGCTTGCCTTGCACCCACTCATATTTGTGAGAGCCCCCGTTGAAACACGGACCTCCAGCGACCGTATAGGACCTGCCTAGACTTCGCGAAGGGTAGCAGTACGGCCGGTCGCGTCCCATACCATTCTGGTGGTTTGACTACCTCCCCCGAGTGTTGCATAACTGTCCCGGCTCATAGGTCATTTAAGAAGCCCTGGATATTGAGGAGACGATCGAACAGGACCGCTACAGTAGCCTTGTTCCATCTGCTACCTAGTCCTGCGTTTACCCGCGTATAAAATCTGGCACGCCGGGAGCCCCGAAAAACCTGCCCCAGCATCCTATCTGTATTGGTAGACAACATTTACAGTATTATACATAAGGAAAGATATATATATAATAGAAAATGGAAGCAGTGTATTTGGTCGTGGCGGGATGCCGAGAAGTAAGGTTGGCAAAACGAAACCGAAACTGTGGCCATGTGCTGCCATTATGCTTTGCACGGCACTACACCACTATAGGATCGCTTTCATTTTTCGAGAAGCCTGTTGCTACAATTTCGTGAGCGACAATTTCTCTCATAGATAGTGCATAGAACTGTTCTCGCAAATGGTGTAAAACCTTCAGTCTCGTTGTACGTAGATGACGTAGATGACGTAGATAAGATGTGTTCCAGGGCTTTCCGATAGATGGCGCCAATGTGCTAATGTGGTCTCTCGGTGCTGATGTGTCGGGGCATGGTCGGCATGGTCGTGGCTAGTGATGGGACGAATCTTTTTCCGAATCGAGATTCGGAGCCGAATCTGAAGATTCGGAAAGATTCGGAAGAGTTGCCGAATCTCAAGCGACTCGGAAAAGTTCGGAAAGATTCGGAGCATTACCATGGTTGCCAGATCACGTTAATGAGTGTTTCAACTTTTCGTGATATTAAATTCACTAAATTCTACAAAGTGCACAAAATGATATTGTAATATAATATCATAGTAATAAATAAAATGTTTTGTTTTGTAATTTTGGACGTTTGTCGAGAACGGTGGCCAGACATCGCGGGAAAATTGGTTTCGGTTCCGGAATACGACCCTAATTCGCGACTCCAACTAGTAACTATAGATGGCGCCACTCATTTTCCGAAATGGCGGTTATAGTGGGGGTCGGAGATACGTGGCCAGCTGTTGAACCTGTCTAGTGTGCTGGCTGCACGGAGCGACAGAATTTATTTCTGGTAATACGAGGAAGCTAGGGTGTTATGAGCGCAGGTCACCTCTTTACCCTGAAAACAAGAACGGTGTTTGCGAAATATTTACGCAAGGATGCGCGTTTTAATTATGGAGCGAAACCGAAACTACCCTTTACTTTGGATTTAATTTCTATAATAAGTGAGAGACATCGGTTTTGGATGGCGAGACGTCGTCCTGTCTATTTTCTGTCCCTTCTACGTTTTGATGTTTCTTCTCTACCCCAGTCTCAGGTTAATTCAACATGGTTAATATTCACCAGCTCGCCTGCACCCTTACGATTTGTTTCTATAATAAACGCTGTTCTCACTGCAACAACCCAAAGACTGAATCCGAGTCAGACAGCTGAAGTGCGTGTGTGTGTGTGTGTGTTTTATAGTAACGCGTGACGCATAGGACTTGATATTGCATCCGGTGTTTGACCGTTTGTGTATCTTGATAACGATGGACGAGTTTTTCATATGCTAAAAAGAAAAGCAAAAAAAGTATACCTTTCTGGAAAGACTACTACGGTTAAATGGCTTATTTTCGTGATCTTGGCTTTAATTCGGGGTATGCATTGCCACGATTTGTATTATTTATAATAATATTAAAATTGAAATATTTTAATACGTAATTTTTCAACTTCTAATATAATTTGTTGCTTATGATCTAATTTCAAATTAGCGAACAAATATGACAATCAAAAGTGTGCTAATTATGATTACGGTGCCAATGGCATTTTTAATTACAGAGTAATAAAATCAAAATAGTCTAAAATCAATGAAAACATCCCAGCTAATGTAAAAAAAAAACCACGTCAAATTACGTTAATTCTGGGTAAAGTATATTTTGCTATCAAAGTCGGGACTTTTGACAATCGGCAAAACGTCCAAAGTTGCCGCCAATATCCTTCCAAACGAAATCCCCAAAAATTAAAAAAAGAACACTTTTTTTTAAATTATTAGTCTTTTCATAACATTTAGTTACTTTCATGTTTACGCTCCGTCGTTTTGCCAATCTCAACCTTTCTAGTTCGAAGGAACGCTTACCTGCATGCACGTCTGCTCACTGCAGCATGCTTCCTTGGCGTTGGAAGCCGGTGAAACAGTAGTGAATTTTAGTATTGCGTATACGAGCGAACGCAAGCGCGGTGAGTTTGCGTTAGATTTGCGTGTTTCACACTGCGCGTGCGCGAACCCCGAAATTGCGGTCTTGGATGGCGCATGGCGATGAAGCGCACACACAACGTGGGGCTTGCAACTCTAAAGCAAACGCACACCGCTTGCGTTTGCTTCTATGCGTATTACTAAAACAGTCTCCAGTAAGGTACAATCCCCTACCAGCCGCAGCACTATGTTGGGACAATGAAGAGTGTTGTTTGCATTCTTAAGTGACATTTTGCGAGCCATGATCGCGAGCAGGAGAATCGGGGGACCCTCACTAGAGCACTTCCCGTTTGCGCCACGGGAGGGCGAGCGTCGAGCTGGAGACGCGAATGGGCATGCTTGGTGCACGTGGAAATACAAGCGCATGTTTTCATCGCCGCAAGAGATCGATGCCGTACGTTCTGTTCGGTATAGACACATTTTGTGCCCATAATTACGGTCATAATGGCACACACCACACAAGTGAGTATGTTCGATTCGATTATCTTTAACGTGTATCCACTGAGGTCTTGTTATCGGAACACGGGAAACAATCTGAAACTCTTAATGATATCCGATTTTGTTAGTGTTTATTTCCGAACAATAAAGTTGCGTTGGACCCCCTGTGTTGTGTTTCTTTTTCATCAAATAAAGTTCACACACACAAAACTTGCTGCCGAGAACGGAGAAACGACAGTGCGACGTTTTTCTTCGCCACTGGTGCCGGTACGCGGTCGAAGTTGTGACGAGCAACATTCATCTCGCTTTCGCGCCTTACACACAGCTCTAGAGGAGACGAATCATTTCCTTGCCTGAATATATTTATTGTGGGTTGCGCCACATTATGTATAATACCATAGCATTTCGCTACATTTGACCGATTGCCACGAAACCGCACAGAAATTGAGACAACTAGTCCATTGGTTAGGCCTACGTCAACCGCACAGGTCAGCTCAGCTGGACCTCGGCGCGTGCCAGGGTTTAGAATGACAGTACAGTAGATACCATACATACGTTGAAATAAACAAGACGAAATCTGGTTATACGCAGTAACAGTACCTAAAAAAGACACAACTGACCGCATTCGTGAGGTTTACGACAAGGTTCACGCTGCCGCCTGCAACCAGCGACGAATCTGACGAATCTCCGAACCTGCCGAATATTCGTCGCGGGAAGTTCGGAAATTTCCGAATCTGACCGAATCCGAATCTCCGGTGATTCGTCCCATCACTAGTAGTGGCCGTGTAATAACAACAACGTCTAGGTTGTTGGGCACCGTTAAAGGAGCGTCGTTGGAAAGCGTGGTGTCGGGAGAGTGGGAGCGTTCCGGCGTTCGTGGAGGTTCTTTACATCGTCCGTCAACGGCAACTTCGCCTCCGGGAGTTGCCGCGCTCAGGTTTCCCGGCGGGAAATGGGAGACAGGCTGTCACGGGCGCGACCGACGGAAGGGCGATGCGGAATGTCGGCGAGATGGAGAACGGGAACCTCGTGGTGCTGTCGGCGCTGCTGACGGAGGACGACGGAGGTATTCGCCGTGCCTTGGGCGAAGGTCGTTCGGCGGAAACCCTCGTAGGCCCGTGACGGTATGGGCACCTCCGGTAGACGTGGTCAGCCTCACCGCAGTGGTAGCACAGCGGTCGCCTGTCGGCCGCCCGCCACACGTCGGTCTTCCTCGGCGAGGGTCGCTCCGGACGGACGTACTGGACCCGTTCTTCGCGACGTCGGGAGCACTGCGGTGCTAGATGCTCATGACTTGGAGGCGGACGGCCAACAGGCGACTGCCTCCACGTCCGGAGCAAGAATAAACGAGAACCTATTAGAAGTCCGTGACCGAGCGTTGCTTTCTCGGCCCTGCGCCCGGCAATATTAAGAGTGAATCGGTAGACTATTCCTGAAGAAAAGATGCCAATTTTCTAGAACAATATTTATTTGGAATTTAAACACCATACCATCTAAAGTCTCTCGCTGTGTATTGATTCACTGCAAAAAAAAAAAAAAAAAAAAAAAAAAAAAAAAAACGTGTTTTTTATGATGTTAGTCTAGGAGATGTAATTCTATAATATTTGTAATCAATTGCCTGCTAAGTTATTTATCTGCCTGCCTGTTGAAGGGGGATCGGTGGCCAAATGGGCTAGCGCACTAGCTCGTGTGTGGAGCGAAAGCTCGCGCTGCAGTACCAAGGATCTTGGGTTCAATCCCCACCGCAGCCCGTTTCGATCTGGATGAGCATCGTTCCGGCGTGCGGTCGTGTATCCCTACTGTGTGATGCACGTTAAAGGGAAACAGAGGGGAACAGGTCTACTCGTCATAGAAAAACTGGACATAGGGGAACTGGACATAGGGGAACTGGTGAAAGAAAGCATATCGTTCTCTGACCTTGTCATAAAAAAAGTGGTAAAATATTTTCTGTGCGGTCGTCATATTTCTTGCTTCTTTTTTTATCTTGTTCGCTAAACAGTCTACAATATCACAAGAGAGTATTGTCCTTCGCTATGAACCCTCTTTTCCATTGAAAGCACTCTTCAAAGTTTCTTTTAGAGGGCAGTCTTTTTTAAGGAAGAGGCTGAGGTTCAAAAAAAGAAATGTTTTGATAAACTGAAAAGGCGAGCTTGTTAAATGTAGATGCTTAAATTGAAGGAATAAAAACACGAAAGACGAGGACGTGACAGCACTTTTTCATTTAGCAACGACGTCTGATTTTCGAAACAAAAATTCGCGCTGTGGCCGAGGTCACCCCTATAAGGGAGTGTTAGGGAGGTATCAAAATTGGAGAGAACGACCGGGAAAGGTAGAGGGACTGAACGAGGAGGCAAGGACAGAGGATTCAGACCGTCAAAGTTCTACGGGAATCCATGAGTGTCCCGTTTCTACGGGAATCTATGACTGTCCAATTTCTACGGGGAGTTTCATAGACTTCCCAGTTCCGGCCTGATAAATTTTACTTCACGTCTTGATAGAGTTAAGAATGCCAAAAATATTTTTTTTTCTTGGGAGGGGGGTTGATGAGGGACTCGATGATTTCACGTCCATAGCGGTTTCGGTGTCTCCCTTTTATCTACATGCCGCCGAAGTCAGTTGCGCACACGAAGCACTCATTTGCGTTAACCTTCGTGTTTTTATACTTTCAATTTTAAGAATGCTTTTTATTTGTTTTGTTTGCCGGGTCAAATTTGGGAAACAAAAGTGTGCACTTGGAAAATCGCTGGCTTGAAGTACATATACGTAGAAAGAAATGTGTTGACTGCCAGAAAACCCCGGCTGGCTGTATGATGGAGCTATTAAAAACTCAGCGCGGGGGAAGTTTTGATTAATGTTTGTACAGTATTCGTAATGTTCAAAATTCGTTACTGCTTCGTGCGCATCATATGCACCACGTTTCCTGAAGGGTGATACGAATTTGGTATCCTCGTCAGCCATTAAGGCCAAATTTGCTTGAACTGAGAGCCCTAAGACCAATACCACATATTCGTTTTTCTACTTGTTATTGCAACAAGTAGAAAAAACGAAATGACTCATTATAAATTACGCAATCGAAGTCTTGGAGGCGCATTCTGCGACAAACTAATTTTCACAAAATTGACAAAAGTCCAGTTCTCCGCCCTTACGAGTTCTCCGCCGTTACGAGTGTACGATATGTATTATGACGAGATGCCCACTCGCTCGGAGTTGGCAATAACGCAATCTCGCAACGGTACACCGGCCCCCCCCCCCCCCCCCCCCCCCCCCCCAAATTAAGCTGTCCCAGTGTGTTACGAGACATGTCGCTAGATGGCGCCACCCTCCTGTGTATTTTGGCGCCATCCACCTCCGGGCCGAAGGCAGAGGCATATCAGACGCGGGGCGCGAAGTACGCACCACAATGTAACTCGTCATTAAGCATTCAATAAACAGTTCTTAAAGGTTAAACGTGTCCGCAACCAACGACATTGAAACATGGTGTCAGAAGTGGTAGAAGTCAACGCGCTCGTCCACTAGTGCAGCCACTGAAGACGACATGGAAAGGATCCCGCCGCCGCCGAAGTTCGAGAACGACAGCAACGCTGCCGAACAATGGCGCACCTTCAAGCAAGCCTTCACGCTCTACATGAAAGCTACGGATGTCAGTGGAACATCCTCCGAAAGGCAAGTTGCTCTCCTTTTGACAATCGGTGGACAAAGCCTACTGGACATCTATAATACGCTAAACTTTGGAAGCGCAACGCAAGAAAGACCTCACCCCTAGTATGATTTTGAGCACGTGGTGAGGCTTATGGATGCACACTTCTTACCGAAGCAAAACGAAGTATACTCCCGCTACATCTTTCGCACTCGAGTACAACTCCCCGACGAGAGGTTCGACACGTTCTTAACCGATCTCAAATTGAAGACTCGGGACTGCAACTTCGGACCTGAAAAGGAGAAGATGATTCGAGACCAGATTGTCTGCGGAGTGAATGACGAGAAAGCGCGAGCGGACATTCTAAAACTTGATGAACCGTCGCTTGAAAAGGTTGTCAAGGTATGTCTAGCGCATGAGTCAACGAAGCTGCAACTTAAAGTCTTCAAGGAAGGCAGACCAGCAACTGAGGAAGTTCATGCAGTGAAAGACAGACGCCGTCGTCTACCACCTGTTGACCGAGCAAAAGATAAAAAGACAAGTTCGAATCAAGCAGTACAGCATTTTAAGTACTGTGGAAGCGATCATGCACGTGCTAGAAATGCTTGTCCAGCATGGAACAAAACATGCAACAAATGCAAAAAACAGAACCATTTTGCAGTTGTGTGTAAAAACAGCAAGACTGTTGCCAGTTTGGAGCCAGAAGACGACACAGATGAAATATTGATGGTGCAAAGCGGCAAACCAAGTCCACTGTTTGCGACTTTAAATCTGAACCAAAAAGGAATAAGGTTCCAGGTTGACAGCGGGGCTGCTGTAAATGTCATCACCAAGAGAAATGTGTCGCCTGATCAGATAATGCCGACGTCTACAACGCTGAGAATGTGGAATGGTACCAAGGTAGTGCCATACGGCAAGGCGAGGTTGAATGTAACCACTGCTAATGGACACAAGCACATTGTTGACTTTGTCGTGGTGCGTGATGACCTCAGACCCCTTATCGGACGAAAGACAGCCGAGCAGATGGGACTGATTACAGTGAATTACAGTCTGGTTGCCAGCATCAGTGCTGCAGGTGCACAGGGTGCACTGGAACAGATCATGGAAAGACACTCCGACGTCTTCGGACAGTCTTTAGGCTCATTACCTGGACTTGTACACCTGGTGACTAAACCTGCTGCAAGCCCAAAGGCGGTGACAGGCTGTCGGGTGCCAGTGAGTGTTAAACCGCAGCTAGAAAAGACAATCAGAAACCTAGAACAAAGGGGAATCATCAAAAGTGTCACCGAACCAACCCCGTGCGTGAGCCGAATGGTTGTTGCCACGAAGAAAAATGGTGATATGAGAATCTGCATTGATCCTCAAGCTCTTAATGAAGTTTTGGAGCGAGAGCGACACCCCTTGCCAATCTTGGACGACATTCTGCCCGAAGTTGCTAAAGCCAAGGTCTTCTCGAAGCTGGACCTGCGTGACGGCTATTGGCAGTGCATTTTGGACGAAGAGTCAAGTGTACTCACCACCTTTCAGACACCAATGGGACGTTACCGCTGGCTACGCCTTCCATTTGGACTTGCTGTCAGTAGTGAAATTTTTCAAAAAAGACTGCAGTCAGCGCTGGATGGACTAGATGGTGTATTGTGTGTCGCAGACGACATCCTTGTGTTTGGAGTTGGAGAAGCTGAAAGTGAAGCTCGACAAGATCATGACAAAAAGCTTGAAAGCCTACTACAAAGGTGTGAGAAGATTGGCGTGCGACTCAACAGAGACAAAACTGAGCTTCATTGTTCAAGTATGACTTTTCTAGGACACCTATTGACGAGAGAAGGACTACGAGTCGACCCTGAAAAGGTCAGGGCCATTCAAGAGATGCCCCCACCTACGGACGTCAATGCTGTGCAGCGCTTTTGTGGGATGGTCAACTACCTTGCACGTTTTCTACCAAAGATCTCCCATGTTACAGAACCACTAAGAAAGTTGGTCACAAAGGATGCACCATGGGTATGGGAGAGGGAGCAAGTTGAAGCTTTTGAAGAAGCAAAAAACGTGGTAGTAAAGGCACCGGTGTTGGCATACTACAACCCACAGAAACCACTTGTGATACAGTGCGACGCCAGTGAGCGTGGTCTAGGAGCTGCACTTCTTCAGGAGGGACAGCCGATATCTTTTGCAAGCAGAGCTCTTACTCCAACTGAAGTACGTTACGCACAAATTGAAAAGGAAATGCTTGCAATAGTCTTCTCGTTGAACAAGTTTCACCAGTACACTTTTGGAAGACTCACTACTGTGATCACAGATCACAAGCCTCTGCAAGCCATCATGAAGAAGCAGCTGGATCAGGTCCCGAGAAGATTGCAGGGAATGATATTGCAGACCCAACGGTACAATATCGACATTCAATACCGACCAGGGAAAGAACTTTTTTTGGCCGACACAATGTCACGAGCATTTCTGCAGGACGGTGGCTGTGAGCAGCAACTGGAAGACATCAACATGATCAACCACTTACCTGTGCGAAAAGAAACTGCAGAACAGATCCGCAAGGCAACGTTGAAGGATGATAATTTGCAGAAACTGGCAATGGTGATCCTGGCAGGATGGCCGCAGGACAGGAACAACATTCCACCAGAAATCAGAATGTACTTCCCATTCCGAGATGAGCTCGTGGTGGAAGACGGTATAGTGTACAAAGGACAACGGCTGGTTGTACCAAAAGCACTACGTCGAGAGATGAAAGAAAAGCTGCACTCATCACACATGGGTGTTGCAAGCACTCTGCGACGTGCACGGGACAGCATATTTTGGCCCAGCATGAATGCAGAGATAAAGGACCACATCTCAGCTTGTGAGATTTGCCAGAAGCATACACCAGCACAGCAGCGAGAGACACTAAAGCCTCACCCAGAACCCAACTTCCCCTGGGAGCGTGTTGGATGTGATATACTGGAGCACAAAGGCAAACACCTGCTAGTCACAGTGGACTATTACAGCAACTTCTGGGAGGTCGACCAACTCAACTCGCTAACATCAGCTCATGTAATACGAAGACTGAAAGCACACTTCGCAAGGCATGGCATCCCAAGAGTCCTTGTCACGGACAACGGCCCACAATTTGCCTGTGAAGCATTCCACAAGTTTTCAGTAGAATGGAACTTTGAGCACACAACGTCAAGCCGTGCATACCCAAGATCAAACGGCATGGCAGAGTCCGCAGTGAAGACCGTCAAAATGCTTTTGAAGAAGGCTGACGACAGCAATAGTGACCCACAAATGGCGTTCCTGGATTATCGCAACACGCCGTTGCAACACATGAAGGCAAGCCCAGCTCAACTCCTCATGGGCCGACGTACACGAACGTCGCTGCCAACGACAACGAAGCTGTTGCAGCCACGGGTTGTCAATGCCAGTAAGCGATTGCAAGAGAAGAAACGAAGGATGATTTTTTACCACGACAGACAAGCCAAAGACCTTCATCCGTTAAAGAAAGGACAGAAAGTAACTGTTCGCCCAACCAAAGATGGGATGTGGACAAAAGCAACCGTGACTGAACAATGTGGTGATAGATCATACAAGGTGCAAGTTAGTGACAGCGTACTGCGGCGCAACAGAGTGCACATTAGAGGCATACCAGATTACCAACAACCTGATGCCGAGACCCCCTCGGAACCTCAAGATGGCTGTGATCAACATGCAACGCCTCAAGCAAAAAGCCTACCACAGCTCGAACCAGCAGTGGTGACGCCAACACAGAAGTCGCAGGAGCCCGGCCCCCAGCCAAGTTCAAATTTTACACCAGTACGACCGAAAAGGTCAACTACTCTCCCCAAGAGACTTCAGGACTTTATTGTAGGATAATCATCTCAAACAAAAGAGGATGTTACAAGACATGTCGCTAGATGGCGCCACCCTCCTGGGTATTTTGGCGCCATCCACCTCCGGGCCGAAGGCAGAGGCATATCAGACGCGCGGCGCGAAGTACGCACCACAATGTAACTCGTCATTAAGCATTCAATAAACAGTTCTTAAAGGTTAAACGTGTCCGCAACCAACGACATTGAAACACAGTGTTGCATCATTTAGCCACGGTGGCGCTCTCTGGACGGGTCGTTCCCGTTTCGACCCATTCCCAATTCAACCTTCCCGTTCGTGCCTTCCCGTTTCGACCGGGCTCAAAACGACCTTCTCGTTTCATCCTTTCCCATTTCACCCTATCCCGAAACAACCTTCCCGCTTCGGCCATCGTTTGTTACCAGTTGGGTCGGTTCGTTTGTATTGTTCGTTAACAGTTGATTAGGTTCAAGTGTCCAATGTCAGTCCTCCTTGCCTACCTCACTTCTCCCTCTCCCGAAACAACCTTGGAGACATGGCGCCGCAAGATAAACGCGGTGTCAGGGAGGGTTCACTTGAACATTTACAGCTTCATCGATCTGATCGAACGGGATAAGGCTTTAACAGGGGTGTCTTTGCAGCAGCTTGCAAATAGTGGTGCCGTGCGGGCCGGGGGGCACAAATGGGTCAGCAAGGACCGCAAACTATCAGAACTGGAGTGTCGCCTATCGGATGGCACGATTTCCCTGTTCTACCTTCTCAACAAGGCGAAGGCATGTTCTGGTCTATTACGTTTTCCTGTGTGCGCGAGTGTTCAGCGTTTGACATTATAAAAATTAAAAAAAAGCGACAAGGTCGTCTTTGCAGTAATGGTGTCGCAGAGTGTACATAGACCGTTTCGCGGTTGCACGTCATGAGGATCACCTTGAAATAAAAAAAAGCAAAAAGACTTTAAGTGGTTGAAGTAAGAATAATATATTACTTCGAAGCTTGCTTTAAAGAGGTGCATATTTTTAGAATATAGCAGACAAGGTGCGCAGTCCAGGGTTAGAATAATTAGACTTTTCGCGAAGTTATTGTGATGCGCAGGGTCTTATACAAATGGGTTAAAAATGGAAGGGTTCAAACACAAAGGGTCTTTCGGGTATCGGTTGAAACGGGACGGGTTCAAATGAAAAGGGCTTTCGAGGATGGGACGAAACGGGACGGGTTCAAAGGGGAAGGTCGTTTCGAGAATGGGTCGAAACCGGAAGGGTTCAAACGGGAAGGTCTATTCGGGAATGGGTCGAAATGGGAAGGGTTCAAACGGGAATGGGTTTTTTCGGGCTACACCCCTCTGGACCGCTGCCCAGGGCCTATAGCTCTAACTGCTGTCTTTCCAAGACATAGGAAAAGATGATTAACAAAAGACTCGTGTGTTTGCTAGAACGAAAGAACTGCCTTGGTACGTTCCAATGTACCTTTCGTTCAGCATGGTTCACTGTCGATCACGTCTTCAGCTTTGAGACTCTCGTATGTGAGGCGTTCGTCAATAGGGAACGATGTCTTTCCATCTTCGTTGATTTGGAGAAGGCATACAACCTGGTCTCGCGCTATGGCATACCGCAATATTTATTCAATCTTGGTCTCCGTGGCCGAATATTATCTGGACTTGAAAGTAAACATCTCTGACAGAAATGTGTCTGGTTTATCTCAAACCAAAAGCTCAGAAACAATCAGTTCTCAACGTTCCAGGGTCGACTTGACTGCTTGAGGGAGTGACTAATGGTGAATTCCACTCGTAGATCTGGAGCGCTTTCCAAAATCCGCGAGGGAGGCAAAATTCCGCTCCGTGGGACCCGCTCCGTATCGACGAGGGGAAGATAAACTTGCATTTTTGGAGCTACCTCCCCCACACCCCTCCCCACCCCTCCTCCTTCCGCCGTTCAAAATGGCCGCTGCTCGAACTTGACCAGCCCACCAACGCCTCAGCCGGCTGATCTTTCCGACGACCAGTGACGACTGTCACTGCTTAGCTGCAGAAGTAACACGCGACACAGGCCGGGCGGAATTATACGTACCACGGCGCCCATGTCACAAATAGCGAAGACGTCCGCGTTCGGCACCGTCACATACCTTTCGGCCGCCTCGAAGCGGCGGGGCACGGACAGCGATTGCCAGCGGTGGAGTTCAGATTGCTAGTACGACTTTAATAAACACAGAGGTAACAAACCATCACTTGCGCGGTCGTTGCCTAACCACATCTTGCTTTATTTCACGGGAAAACGCCGATGGAATGCAGTGTAAAAAGGTAAACAATCACTGGCTGCAGAATGAATAGGCCTAACCTTGCGTCTGCCTCCGGCTTTTCTGTCGTTCTTTTTTTTCGTTCTTCCTCGGTGATCACAGATGTCAGCGCTTACGATTTGCCACGCTCCACATTCCCGGCTTTTTATCCCTGATCTACGCGAGGTAGAAGCGTTCGAGCCGTCACAGTCCAGAGTAAACAACCGACGCACCCGAACAGATCCAACTCCACCGACCGGCCCGCCGATCTCTCCAACCTCGCCGCGCATGCGCACCGCCGATTTAGACGGAAATCACGTGGGCCGCTCTGTCAATTTCCGGAGAGATCTGTGAAATCCCGCAGAGCAAGTTCGGCGGAGTTTGGGGCGCTCCGTGGAGCGGGCGCTGCCAGAGATCTACGAGCGGAAGATGACCAACTTGAGCCAGATCTGCGAGTGGAATATGCGCGCTCCAAATGGAGCGCTTTTGGAGCGCTCAAGATCTGCGAGCGGAATTCACCATAAATAAAACTGGTTAGCAAGAGCTTCGACCTCTTCTTCCTCTTCTACCGAGTTGATGTTTTGTTAACGTGACGTATGCTCTGGACGTAAATAGATGGTAAGGCCTCAAGGGACCTATTAAAGTTCCCCAGTGTGTTCTGAATATGCCACGACTCCAAGGACATACGTTTTCGGATATGTGGCTTCGTGTTTATCACGTGAGGGTTCGCGAAGTCGATGCGATCATCAAGTGTCTCACAAAGCTGTGCGACGGTGCTACGCTTGCGATCGATATTGCGCACATCGTTCGGGTGCTGGCGTATGCGTTCGGAAAAAGATTTAGTTTCGCCAATGTACACGACGGTGCACTCTGCACACGGTATCTTATAGACCACGCCTTGTGCTTTTTCTTTTGGGAGGTGATCCTTCGGCCTTGGCTTGAGCCGTCCTAATGTTGACACTGACTTGTGTCCCACTTGAATCTCTTATTTTCGAAGCATGCGCGGCAGTGCATCGCTGGTGCGTTTTACATAGGGGACGCTGATGCGCGTGATGGGATGGGTGCTGTGTGTCACTCGGCGATCCATGGTTATTGCGCGTGCGGCACTGTCAACGGGCGACGCGTTGAAGAAAACTCCTAGTGTAGCCGTTTCTTTGAAGGTGAGCAAGGATGGTCTTTTTCTTCTTTCTTCTATCGTTTTCCGACGAGCAGATGGTCATAGCTGTAGACAAGAGAGTAGAAACCTTTGACACCTTGTGACTCACTTGGTGGTTCGAGTCAAAATCAAGGTAGCGTCTTGTGTGTGTTGGTTTTCTGTAGACCAGGAATCTCAGCTTGTCTCTTTGCCTTTTCACCAGAGCATCGAGGAACGGTAAAACTCCAACTCTCTCGGATTCTACGGTTAACTGGATGGCCAGTTCATTGGACTTCAGGTGTGTTAAGAAATGGTTCACCTCTGATTTCTTCACGATGCAAAAACAATCATCCACACAGCGCATAAACTCTTTTGATCTGTTGGCGAAAGTGCTTAGCGCCCTCTGTTCAACCACTCAATTGTGAGGTTTGCCTTCGTGACAGCAATATAAGCGCCCATCGCCGCCCCCAAACCAGACAAATTTCTGTCGAAATGTTTACTTTCAAGTCATTATCCACTGATTTTGGACCGGAGACAGCCCAGCTAGCGAAGCGGTTTGTCGACATCTCTCGCAACATCGCCACATACAAGATCCATATCGACTTTACGAGGGCCCTCCAGGACTTTCTCATGATTCCCCGAAGTCTCCGTCTCAAGCGCCTCGTAAACACCCAGGAGGGAAACAAGATATTGGCACAGGCGGAGCACCGGTCGGTAAGCGCCCGAATTCATGAGTGCCACACCATCTTACAGAAGAAGGAACTGGACGTGTACTTCGCGCGTCGGCAGCTCGAACATCGCGTCCCCGGTGTGTTTCTGTCGTTGCAGTTGTTTGCTTCCAGCATCGCCTCTACTACTGGAGAGAAACGACATTCATCTCAAGAAGAGGAGCTTTCTAAGCTAAGAGAAAAAGGTCCAGGAAGACAAGGGGCTGACACCGCCAGTTTTGTCAAGAACCTGTCTTCAAGAGAACTCTCTCCCTGCGAGATTAAAGCTTTGGCAAAAGGTCACGGCTTCAACATGACCGAGACCCGTCCTTCTTTGCCAAAAATGGTTGCCGCAGCGGAGGACGGCATTGCGTACCTAGTCCCTCGCGTCCGGAAAAGTGCACGACTTAAAGCGTGAGGCATCCTTTCAAAACCTTCGTGACGGCATCGTCACAATTTATCACGAAATGAAACCGCTGTGCTTCGGAAGCTCCGCGAGGATGCAGAGATTGTGCTCCTGCCGGCAGAAGAGCGAAAATCGATCGTCGTCTTGGTCCGGGAGGGGTACGAGCAGAAGACACGGGATCTTCTTGACAGTCCAGCTTATGAAAAGCTTAAGAGCCAACATCCCAAGTTCAGCGTAACGTGAACAAGCTTATGCCTGACTTCTTCAAGCAATACCCAGAGTCGAAATCCCTTTACCTAAAGCTCATCTGCAGGAATGGCTATGCGACAAGCTTCTACGGACTAACCAAAACCCACAAACCTAACTTTTCCTTGCGACGTATCGTAGACTTTACGACCTGACCACTCCGGCACTATTGAGTGATCTAGACCGCACAATAGCCCTCATCGTTGGAAACACGCGGACCGATGTGCTGAGCACCGGCCACTTCGTGGAACGTGCTTCGCAAGTAAGACTTAGCGATGATGATACGATGGTGTCTTTCAACGCTGTGTCATTCTTTACCAGCGTCTCAGATGCAATAGCAGTTACTGCAACCTGAGAGTTCCTCGAGAAAGACGAAACATTAGGCTCAAGAACCAGCCTCAATGTGGATGAACGATGCCGCCCTTCCGAGTTCTGCCTTGGCAGTACGC